GCAGGAATGTTTAACTTGGGTACAGTTTCTGTTACAAATGCTGTAATTGGTTTCATTCAATTATAAATAATCTATGGAAAGCTCAGTCAGGAAAGCAGAGCACTCCTAGTAATTTTCATTTATCCTGAGGCAGCCTTAATTAACGTGCCTGCCCTTTTAGGCAACATTTTACATTTTTTCATAGACAATATGGCTAAAAATTAGAGTTCTTTTTTAGCTTGCTGCCTGCCTGGATGGTGATGAATAATGGAAAGGTAGATGATGGTTTCGTTAAAACAGGGAAGGAGTGAAATAAACCAATAAAGCACTTAGGGTACTCTGCTCAAATGAGGTGCTGTCAATTATTATAAATTAAAAAAAAACAAATCCTATTTGTATGAAGAGCGCATACCTTGAAGGGCCTGGCCTCTGCTGCCCTCGTCCATTACAGCCAAGAGAATGGGCTGGTTAACTGGGAGAACGCGCGGGGAAGGGTCACCTTTCACATCTTCCTCATCTCTCCTCAGATTCCTCCGGAACGCGCTGTGCCGTTCCTCCGAGGACGCTGGCTTGCGTCCAGCTCGCCCAGCCTGACGCGGGGTCGGCCGTCGGAGGCACGGCTCGCTCGGTTGTCTGCGGGAACCTCGTTGTCCCTCGCGTTGGTGGGAGCACCGGGTGCTGCCAGCTGCCGAGACCGCGTTTGCTCGCCCTTCCCTCTCGCTGCTGAGACTTCTCGGCTTTTCCCTCAGATGATATTCTTACGTGAGTCTAGGAGGGGAATGACATTATTACATATATTAGCTTTATCTGACCATAGATACCTCTGAAATAATCTCATCGCTTCATTACTGATTTCACAGAAGTCATTAGGAAGAAGTTAAACTTTCTGACTGTTGGCAGCAAAAATAGTCAGTCAATTTCCTGCAATTTATGCAGCATGTTACAAAATGCTAAAACATAATTCTGCATTGCATTACAGAATCACAGAATAGTGATTGGCAGCAAAAATAGTCGATTTCCTGCAATTTATGCAGCATGTTACAAAATGCTAAAACATAATTCTGCATTGCATTAGTCAGCCTCGTAATTAGTACGCACTTGCTTAGCTTATGAGGGGGTAAAATTTGTAATCCAGGTGACTTCCTTAGAGCTGAAGTCGAGGAGTGTGTTGCTTTTAGCTGACGTGGAAGTAGAATTCTCTCTGAAGTGTCTTTCAGGCTGAGGATTTTCTTTCCTGGTTATTCGAATCATTTTGTGCAGGTCTTTCTCAGTTCCCTAGCAGTACCTTTAAACATTTTCCCACTTCCATTCAGAATGAATTCAAAAAGTGCCCGTGTGTTGGAGACTGCAGTGATGCTTTTTCCCCCAAAGTTACCTTTGTTTTCTCTCAGCTAGCGAGACCTCTGTGCACAGAAGAAAACTGTGGGTTACTTTAGGGACAAAACTCACAGGATGGCAAAGGATGTTTTCTGTTTGAAAAGGAAAACTATGTGCTAGTGTGTGTTACCCTCAGTCTTCTGGCTTTTCCAGTTGCCAGCAGGGTAAGATTAGATTTGGAGGACAGGGCATGTTCCATGATTTGAGCAAGCATTTAATCTGATACTGATTTAAAACTTCACTGAGTAGCTACAGAGGATAATCGTTATGTAGAAAATTGAGCTTAATTAAGCTGCATTTCCTTCTCTGAAGAACCGGAAGGGAGGTCAGTCCACAGCTTCGGGATTTCTGGCTGCGAGAAGCCAGAAATTCGCAGGATCCGGGGCCCGGTTCTTTTCGGGCTGTGCTGACGGATAGGTACCCGGCATATCTGCT